TGGAGATGTCTGGATTGAAATGTGGACCTGATTTGAACATTATGTTCATTACAAGGGGATAAATTTTAGGTCTTTCAAGAAATTCCCACTATTGTTAAATCACCGATTTTTCGTAAGTTTGCCAAAATCAAGCAGAGCAAGGCTATAATTTCCTTTAGCTTGCTTCGTTTTCTTCTCGTAGTATAATGAAGGTCAACTTTTCTGAGTTTGCTTTGGTTTTAAACATTCTGAAGACAAACTTGGATCTTCTTTAGTATTTTAAATTGGAGAGTAACTTCTATATTTGCTACAAATATAATTCACTTCTCTCTTTTTTCAGTGAAGGTAAAAGATATCCTTAAAGATGCTTGGTACACTGAATATCTTGGAGTGGATTAATTAATTTTTTCCTCCTATTTTTTGATGCGCCATGTAGTTTTCCCAAGTCGGTATGAAAAGATACTCTATGCTCAGTAGTTGTTTGAAGACAGTCTATGAATTTTCTTTCCATGAACCATAAAAGAGCAGCTCACCAGAGGTTCATACTAATGCCGTCTTCATTCTTCTGATAGGAGTGGGTAGGAAACAGCTTTTTTAAGGAAAGGGGATATATTCTCTGGGAACATCTAGGGAGTTACAGCAGTATATGGTGCCACTTCAGACATCCTCAGCTCTCTGAGATGTCTTTGTGGAGCTGCCCGGCATGAGACAGGGGATATGTGAGAACTGGGGTCTTTTGGAGGTACAGCTGAAGGCAGGTGGGGGCATCTGAAAGGATATTGAGCATTTGGCGTTGTTTGCTTTATCATTTTACCAGACCAGAGACATTCTGTAGTGACTCTTGTTCTGTAAAGTATTTCATTCCCGAAGTCAGATTATGTAATGCAGAGGACCGTGGCCCTACAAATGTCATCTATCTCCTGAGTAATGACAAGAGAAGTTGTGAGTACAGGATCAGGATCCCTTGTGGCTTGTCCTCTTAGTCTTACATTTTGGCATCTTGACACCAGTCTTAATACTTGTGTTCAGAGCAGCACATTCATATACATATCCCCAGGTCTTTTTTATGTCTCTCTTGAACCGGTCTTGCTTTCTCTAATCACTGAAACTTTCAATTGCCAGATGATTGATTTACTTTATTTTAGTTGCTTTAACTTTGCTGTGTCTCCATTCTTCCCTGTCTTTCAGGGATTCAACACAGATCACTCTTTTTTTGAAAAAGGAATTTCTTTCTCAGTAAGGGTTACCTTAGCCATCCTGTTACTACTGGTTCCACCTGAAGAATTAAGGTTGAAGTTCAATCTTGTGCTTCAGGAATCTCAAAAGGTAGGTAAAGGGTGTTTGAGTTCACTGGGCTTGCTTCAGGAATGCTGTATTCTGAAGCTGTTCTTTGCCACCCTCCAGAGATAATTGTGGTTCTAGGGCAATTAGTGGTGTAGTGTGAGAGCACAGAAAGAAAACAGAGCTTAAAATGTACATGTTAGCATATGTGTGAATTGTGGCTCAGGAAACTAGAAGTAAAACAGAATAACACAGTGTTGTAGAAGAATGGTGGACTCTGATTTCCCCAAAGCAGTTTGATTTAGCCAGGGCAGTGAGTGGTTCTTAGAGCAAAGGTTCTACCTTGGGAAAGGATGTGCCTCCTGAATGAGCTTTATGGTGCCATAGGAAATGTACTTTCTACAATTTCTGGAATAAATTGTTCTGTCATAAATCTGTCGTGTGTCCAGGGCTGTCCAGTGCTGTGCAACATCTTTGTCAGCGACATGGACAGGGGCATTGAGTGCACCCTCAGCAATTTTGCCGACGACACCAAGCTGTGTGATGCCGTGGACTTGCTGGAGGAAAGGGAGACCATCCAGAGGGACCTGGACAGGCTTGAGAAATGGGCCAGTGCAAACTGCAGGAGCTTCAACAAGTCAAAATGCAAGGTCCTGCACCTGGGTCGGGCCAATCCCAGGCACAAATACAAACTGGGCACAGAGTGGGTTGAGAGTAGCCCTGAAGAGAAGGATTTAGGGGTGTTGATAGACGAGAAGCTCAACATGAGCCGGCAGGGCGCTCATGCAGCCCAGAAGGCCAACCCTGTCCTGAGATGTATCAAGAGAAGCGTTGCCAGCAGGGCAGGAGAGGGATTCTCCCCTATTCTGCTCTTGTGAGACCCCATCTCGAATACTGCGTCCAGTTCTGGTGCCCCAACCATAAGAGGGGCGTGGATCTGTTGGAGCGTGTTCAGAGGAGGCCACAAGGATGATCCAGGGGCTGGAGCAGCTCTGCTACGAGGACAGGCTGCGGGAGCTGGGGTTGTTCAGTCTGGAAAAGAGAAGACTTCGGGGGGACCTAATAGCTGCCTTCCAATACCTGAAGGGAACCTACAGGACAGTTGGGGAGGGACTTTTTGCAAAAGTGTCCAGCGATAGGACAAGTAGAAATGGATTTAAGTTAAAGGAAAACAGATATAAGTTGGATCTGAGGAAGAAATTCTTCCGTGCGAGGGTGGCCAGACTCTGGACTAGATTGCCCAGAGGGGCTGTGGCTGCCCCCTCCCTGGAGATGTCCAAGGCCAGGTTGGATGAACCTGGAGCAACCTGGGCTGGTTAAGGGCATCCCTGCCCACAGCAGGGCGTTGAGTTGGATGATCTCTAAGGTCCCTTCCAACCTGGGCTGTTCTACGATAAGTTAGATACTAATCGGTATTTGTCTCCCCACCACGGTAAACTGGGTTCTGAAGGGCAACGAGGTCTGACCGTGTTCCATGACCTCTTTTGGTCACTGTGATTGCTAATTCGCGTAGGGAGGTGGCCTGGCTGGCACAGATGACTGTCTTCGTGCAATCTTTTCTCCTAAATTCTTATTTCTGCTGACCTCTACAGCCTATGTAAAACTCTTAGTTTGAGCTTGCAACCTCTGTAATATCAAATGTGAAGTTTTTAAAAAGAGCAACTCTACAGCATTTTATAAGACACTGACTGCCCTGCCTGCTCTTAACAACTCGTTAATGAAGCATATTAAGATGAGAGAAATCAGAGAGTAGTCATGAAACTGGCATGTCATATTCACTTTGTTCCATATTCATGGCAAGGTTGGATGGCACACTGGTGGAGACTTTCAAGTTCTCTTTTTTCAGAGATGTACATCGCTGTAAGGAAACAAATAGATGTCTCAGACAGTTCAGGAAGGTTCTGATAAGGAGATCCACAATTTAGAAAGCAGTCAGATCCCAAGAAGAGTGTCTCTGTTACGGAGTTAATACATCTGTTATGGAGTTAATACATTTACTGAATTTGAAAGGAACCTGGAAGGTCTGAAGAAAGGTTGAGTTTGACTTCACTGAGCTATAATAAGAAGATACGTAGCTGCCATGCATATCCTTAAGGAAGCTATTCGTAAACTTTTGATTTAATATGCAGAAGTTATCTACGAATATGTTATCCTTACATAAGACAGAGCAGGCCCATCCCAAGCAATTAAAAAAGTAATTGGGTTCTCTGGCTTTTAGAAATGTTTTAGGTGGCATGGAGTGTCTGAGAGCTGATGTGATTTACATTTGGTCAGGAGGTTATCCCTGTTCCATACTGTGGATTTTCTTCCCATCCGGATACAGAATTATATATTTCTGCTCAGATGTGGGATCTAGATTACTATATGTGGTGCTTTTCTAGACAGGTACAAAAGGTGGGGGGTCTGCACTAGCAAGCTGTTATTTGGTCTATTAATATATTATAATATGACTTTGATTTAATTTTCCGTATAAATTAGTATTAGAAGAATCAGAGAAGAAGCATACAGAAAATGTCTTTGATCTGCTAGATTACCACAAATTGGATTATTTCTTTCAGTGTCTTCTTAGATGATGCACTTAACAGTTCTTGCTTTTTTTTTCTGATATATAACAAGAGTTTAACCCCAGTTCCCCATCTGTAAAATGCTAACTTCAGGTTTCAACACTGATAGGTTTCCATTTGTATTGATTTTACTGAGCAAGCTGTCCTCCCTTTTACATCCCAGCCCAGCACCAAACGTACAATGTAAGAGTGCTTAGATGAGGTGAAAGGCTTTTGTGTGGATTTTGTGTTGGATGCCCCACAGCTGTGTTTTTTCCAGTCCTACGGATCAGAATAGGAAATAAAGTCTAGTTTGCTTGTTCATCCAATATGTAAGAACAAAGAAATCTCAGGGGTTCTTACCTCTGTGTAGATAGTACAGTGATAGAATGTTTCAAATTTTGTTTTCCACAGACAGTGATTTGGTCATATGGATTCCAGCCCACACTGTGGAGACTGAGGAGAGGACAGACTGAGAGAAAATGTGTGTATTCAGGAGAAGCGTACTGAGAAAAATCTTTACAAATTGTTTGTACTACAGAAATACTTAGAATCGAACATGGGTGGAAAGTTTTGCACTGAAGTAGACAGTGTCCACTTATAAAATCTTCTCCTAGGTCTTTATGGCTGCATTGAAGGCTTGTTTTAGGCAGGTGGTTGCCCATGAGTTTATCTTGTGTCTGTTCACAGCTGGAGAGTGCTTCAGTCTTCTGTCCTTAGTTGTGAATCCCTGGTTCATTGTCCACCTAGGACAATCTCCGGGGGTGAGAAAGCAGGTGTTGCTGCAGATGCTTTGCTGTTTTAAAAGAAACTACGTCCTAAGAGTAATCCCAAGTGGCTGACCTAATGCTAACATATCAATTTTTGGCACTATCCAAGGAATTAATGCATAAGCACTTGGTCACAAGCTGGGAACCCACCTTTATAATCTACAGATAAGAGGCTTGCAGTCCCCAGAAAACACGCAATTATATATATATGTATGCCTCTCTCTAAGTTGTGCACAGTTCTGATGAATTTTAAGTACTTGAGGTGCTTTGTTCTGATGCTTTTACACTGATGGCTCTTGTTTTCTGTTCTTGTGCACCAAGCGTAGTAACTTTTTATAAATGAGCTTTTGCAACGCCAGCTGTATTTCTTGGTGGTTTATTTCTTCACTGTGATTAAACTCCTAAACTCATCCATGTAATTTCACATTCAAGATACATTGTGCATTGTGTGTACAAAGTTCATTGGCTCTCCTATCATATTCCGGTCCAGTCTCCGACGCCTCTTCGGCTGGGGCTGTTCACCATTGCACTAATTAAAGCAAACCAGGAATTCAGTCATTATATTTTTCAGTAGGTAGTAAGGTCTTCTTAAGTGTAATTAGTAAGATACGTTGTCCCAGTGCAACGTTTTTCCTTTTGTATGGATTCACCCTGGACAATATAATTCCCTTTTTTCTGTTATAACACTTTTCCTGTGCAAATTCATCTGAAAAGAAAATATTAGAAGCTGATATATTTGCAGTGAACGATCCAGTTTTAGCAGAGAGCGCGGTGTGATTCCCCACAATCCTGTCTCACTGTCTCTTCTTCAAAATTACTTTCTTGCGGGAGGCTATTGTGGTACTTACTTTTATAGTTGGGAAACATTTTTCTTGCTATTTAATTCAGACGCTGACATAATGAGTGCTCTGCTGTAATGAATATTTGATGTGCATAAGCCCATGTAAATGCCCAACTATCTTAACAGTTTTTTTTGACCTTTGGAACTTTTTTAGACAGCAATTCTGCCTGACGTGTTTTGATAAAAAGGGGGGATATTTTTTAGGGACACTCAGTTAATAACTTCAAGAACTTCTAGAATTCGTTTGCTTGTGGTTTAGGCTGTTAAAGCGTGAGATTGTAACTTGAAATAGCCCGCACAAGTCCTGGTGGCACTTTCTGTCTCTCGTTTGCGCCGCCGTTCGAGCGGTAGGGTACAACATGGAGTAATCTGCATTTTGGCACTGCGTTTCAAGAAAAATATGGTCCAACTGGAAATAGTCCAGAGGACTATTGATAGTGATCAGAGGTCTAGAAAATATGATCAGTGAGAGTCATGTAGCCTAAGGAAGAAAAAATTGAAGGGAAACGTGATAACACTCATCAGTTATGTGAGAGGCTGCTAGAAATCAGGTCATAACCAGCTCTCCATGCCTGTGGTGGCTCAAGCAAGGCGTAATGAGTTGAAACTGTGTCAAAAGAGATTCAGGTTAGATATTAGGGAAGAAAGTTCTAAAGATACGGCTAGAGCAGTACTGGAATAGATATCTCTGGGTCTTTGGAGCACCAACCAGTCTTAAAACCAGGTTGGGCCAAGAGTTTTCAGAAATGCCAACGGGTAGTCCTGCCTTGAGACGCCCACTTTCTGCATTTTCTCTCCAGGACCTGCCAACCTTTTTGGGTTTTTTATGATTATTGGTACAATACATGAATAAAGAGGCATAACCGAAACAGAAGGTTGATGCTTTAACGAAACATTGTCACGTTTCTAAAACTACATTCCGTCGGTTGGACAGGCTCAAGTATCTCCAGTACATTCTGGGGTGTGCTAACGGGGAATAGGGATGGTGAAGACTGAGGTCTAGCTGGCAGTAAGAGTCATCCGCGGAAGGTCTTGTCTAATATTTTAATTGTTTTCTTTTCTTGTTAGAGTATTTTGAAGCAGTTCTTTAACACAAAGGAGAGCTCTATTAAGTCTTTCAGCCCGTGCTTCTGCCTGTGCCAAAGAGCGGCACCTCCGAGTTTTAGGGTCTCATACAAGGAAGTTCATGATAGTCTGGCCAGTTTTTCCCTTGTGAACTTTCAGCCTGTTTTCTTACTCTTAATTTCTGTTTAAAAAGAAATAGTTTCTTCTGCTCCGCGTATATCAAACTTGCGTGTTCTGTGCACGGCCAGCATCCTCGCTCTTACTAGCACAGACAGTCTCAGTGGGCCTGTCTCAGTGCTACTTGCTTTGGAATTATATACTACAAGTGGTGAATTTTTGCATGTGGTATTTTTCCTCAGCTGTTTTCATCCTTTGGGGTCAGGTGCAATCCCACTGGCAGGATTTATGCATGATATTAACGGGAAAAAATTACAGCTGACCTTGCCTCGTAATGAAAGGGCAGAGCGCTGTGCCCTGGAGTGGCCAGGCTTCTGTTTGCTCTGTGGATTCCTTTATAAGCAACTCACTGAAACAAATCTTCTGGGTATGTCGGCAGCCAAGCGAGGTTTTAAAATGAAAAAAAATTAATATTTTTAACATAATCAGATAGTGAAAAAATGAAAGAAAATGATAGAAATAGTAGGAAGGAAAACAAGTAAAGAAAGGAGGCATGAAAAGAAAGGTTTTTAGATGAGATCTTCCAAGAAGTGCATACATACCTGTTTTCTGTATTCAGATTTTTGCTATTACAAATGGAAATCTCTTGATTGCAAAAAGTTCTTTTGCTGCTACGGTATTGATTTCCTTTGCCCTACATGCTCGTGTAGTAAATGAGCAACCTCGTACGCTCCCAGAGAAAGGAGGTTGTTTTATCTTTGTCCTGTATTGCTGTGGTTTGAGGGAATATAGTCAATCATAAAAATTCAATTTTGGACAACGTATTAAGAGCCAGTAATCCGATTGTGTTACTGCTCCGTATCAGTTAAAGTTATTTGCGACCTTTACTTGCGTGATTTTTTTAGCATATTTGGAATTTTCTTTGTTCAAGGTAATATTTTTGTTTGCCTTGGGTAACTGCAAAATCCTTATATGCATTTCTTTATTCCTAGCTTATTGACGTGTGTTATTAAACTTATCTTTCACGTAGGAGATTGTATTTAAAGATGAGAGGGGTGTATGTATCTATGCAGATATATATATATGTGTGTGTGGTGAAAGTCAAACTTTATGCTCATATACTTCTCTGAGATAATTGACACATTTACATTTTTTTCATATCGTAGATATCATAGAGATTGTTTAAAGATTTATTTTTTTGTTTTGCTGGTAAATTTTCCAGACATTCTGGTATTCGACTTAGTTTGTACACTTGCTTAAGTTTGAATTTCTGAGTGATGTTTAGATCAAAGTCTCTATAATTGTTTTACTGTAAATCATTATAATTTCATTTGTAATAGATAAAATGAGACAACCGAATGTGGAAAGTCCTTGTCTGCCTCCCTTCTAGTAACACATTACCTTTGCATTGCCTGTGCTGCGAGTTGGAGTTTCTTATGTTGCCTTGAATTCACTGTTTTTACTTCACTTTCATGTATAAAAAGTTTATAGATTTAGTTAGCTAATGCAGTTATTGGTTTTAAAATGTGCCTTTGGGCTTCAGGCAGTCTTTCGTGTAATGCTGTTCGGTATGCAAGGAGTGGACATGCTGAACGCTTAACTTGCCTTTCAGAAGGACATGTGAAAATAAAAAATGAAATGTGGTATTTGCATATCTTTCAGGCTGAGACCAGAAGTCTTATGAGTCACAAATGTCAAAACAGCTGATGGAAAACTTTGAGTGCGCTTCCTGTGATCCTAAACACCGCGGAGCTGAAAAGCAGGACCTTTTACCTTGATTTGTCTAAAATAGTTATGTCCTTCTACTACCTTGAAGGGGACCAACATTAATTCTTTTATTTGGGTTTTCTGCTGATGTACTCAAGTTTTCTCCTGCTTTTTTTTCTGTCCACATGACTGTGCTGTTTGGTTTGGCCAAATTGGAGACTTCTACCTGTAGTTCTTTTGTCCGTAACTTCAGCTCACGTCACACGCCCCAGACACTTGTATCTCAGAGCTCTTGTCCTTCTCCCTGAGGTCCGCTGAGACGTCAGCAGCGTGAGAAGTTCTTTCCCGTTACTGGGAAGATCAATGCTACCGTCCCACTTGTGTCCTTCTAAAAAACATTTGTGAGTCAGAGCTTATGGTGGCCTTTCAGTACTTAAAGGGGGCTACAGAAAAGAAAGGGAGGGACTCTTGATCAGAGAGCGTAGGGATAGGACAAGGGGTAACAGTTTCAACCTGAGAGAAAGTAGTTTTAGGTCAGATGTAACAAGGGTGTTCTTCACCATGAGAGTGGTGAGACCCTGGCACAGGCTGCCCAGAGAAGTTGGGGAAGCCTCATCCCTGGAGGGTTTCAAGGCCAGGTTGGACGGGTCTTTGAGCAATCTGGTCTAGTGGGAGGTGGGAGAGTTGGAACTAGATGGTCTTTAAGGTCCCTTCCAACGTTGTATGGATCTGCAATCTTGGTGCCTAAAGCTCTGGCATCAAGAATAAAACTGGTGCTGATGATGCCAACAGCATGGAGTAGTAGTTACGGATTTATGTCTAAACATTTTAAATTACTTTTATTTGCTCTTTCTTTAAACACTAAAAGGAAATTTGTCGCCCAGGAAACTACACTTAACTACCGCCAGGAGTGTTTATTAAGGTTGTGCTTTATTTAACCTCCTCACTTTTCTAATTTTACTTCCTTCATTTTTAATGGTCGTGATAATGGAGGTGATAATGTTTGTTTATTATCCCAGCACCATTCTCCTTTGCACTGTAACTAAAGTCGGTAGACCCTCATCTGGTAACCTCAACATCTGAGTTAATATTTCTCTTCCATTCCTCTTTGCTGAGAAATGATGCCCCCAAACATTCTGTTCTTAATGCACTGCAAATAAATCTGTGGCTCCCATTACTGCTGAGCACTCCAGAGAATGGGAAACCAAATAATCCTCAGCACGTGTGCACTCATCTGTTTTGTTAGAACAGTCCGAGTTTGCTGCACCCCGGAGAGAACCCACACGGGTCTTACAATTCGCTGAAGAGGAAAGTGAGAAATGTAACCTCGTTGAAGAAGGTTTTGACACCTTCTCATGAAGTACAGGGGCCACCGAGAAAGAACACTTGTTGTTTTCAAAATTGTAGACCCCGACTCCTTATTGAGCGGTCCAATGACACAAAAAGTGTTTTTTTCCTCACTCCTGTGAGTGCTCAGAAGAGGACTGTAAAGTTCATTGTCAAAGTGACAGAGATTATGATACACATAAAAATAATGTGTTGGGGTTTTTTTTCTGGGTCACCTGCAGATGACCCATGACTACTTTAGGGCCACAGTTTGGGAACACCTGGAGTAATGTCCTTGTCCAGGACAGCCCAGTAACCCAGTGTAATGTTAGAATGACTTTAATGTTGATGAATAGGCTACCTACAGTATCCTTTAAATAGTTTTATTAGTAATTTAAGAATACTGCTTCTCAGTTTCAGGTAAAAGTGGATTTATACAAAATTGCAGAGGCCTGGAGAAATTTTGCTGTATTTTTACCTCCGCTGTGGCTGAGTCTAAACTT